AGAAGAATTGGCCAGCGATGAGCAGGACAGTTCAGGGCACACGCAGATCCTAAATAAAAAGGTAAAAGCAGGGCCTTTTAAATATCCCCACTGCTGACTGAGGTTTAAAGGCACTACAATCTGTCAGAATGGAGAGAACCTGGTGCATTCACCATCCGGAATGAGAATATGGATAAAAAATTCCAAAGATGGTGTCAGCTTTCTGAAAATAAATGAGCCCCTTTTCAATACATGATGTGGTGGTGCAGGGTTTTATTGGATTACAGTCCATTTTTCCAATCCATATTCCCTTAACTTGCTGGTAAGAATATTGTGGGTGGCCGTATCAAAAGCTTTGCTAAAGATGGCTCTGGGGGCTTTGGGAGGACCAAAACCACCATATTTGCATATTCGTAATTTGCTTAATGAATATGCAAATATGCAAATGAATGTTACCAGTCCTTCGAAAGCTCGTGAATGGATTTAGTGGTCCCCGTGTCAAAAAGTTTGGGAACCCCTGGCCTAAGGGACTCTATGTCTGACCATACTTCCATTGCAGCCTGTTGAACATATAAATACTAACTACCCATAGCTATACAGGTCACTGAGAGCATTATCAGAAGACTGAAGGATCTAGGAGTCAAACTGACAACTTGATGAACACAGGAATTCAGTGTGATGTTGTGGGACAGCATGATCTAAAATGGTCAACACCAGAAAGGCGTGATATCACTTTCCTATACAGTACTAGTAAAGAGAGCAGTACTAGAATACTGTATTCAGTTCTAGTTTCTACACTTTAAAAAGACACCAAAATTCTGAGAGGGTTCAGAGGAAAGTCATAAAAATTATTTGTGGCCAGAAAATCTCTCTCACAGCAAGAGTTCAGTCATTCAATCTGTTTTGCTCACTGAAGCGAAGGTTTTAAAGTTTACTATCATTGTTGGTAGTACCCTTGCTTGGAGGAGAAATGATACACAAGAGGATTCGTCTAGTAGAAAAAGGCATAACATCCAGTGGCTAGAAACTGAAGTCAGGAAAGTTCAAACTGGATATAAAATGCAAACATTTAAGTGAAGAGGATTGTGCTCTGGAAGAGATTGCCAAGGAAGTGGTAAATTCTCTCTCACTTAGAGTCAAAGTTAAGTTTAGATTTTTTATCCCCAAAACAAAAAATACCACAGCTCAATGACAAGTTATTGGGCTCAATGCACTGTGGAAATTCTGTGCCATGTGGTAGGGCAGAAGCTCAGAGTAAAGAACTGCAATGTTCCTTTCTGGCCTTAAAAATATCCAAAAGAAAATAAGGTTACACAAGAATAGCTGGGGTCATAATTTGGCTGCAGAACCTCTGTAACGGACAGTTAAGACACCAGTTTAACTGTTAGACCTCAAGGTCAGTTTACAGGACAATTTGAATTTTTTTTTTTTTACTTGTAGATGGAGCTAATTTGATATAAATATTATTGAGAACTAGAAGATGGACCTGGTGTTGCTTGGGTCCTTAACTGAAATAAGTTTTGTTTTTCTTCATTTAAATCATTGTTCTGGAGTGGGGCTGGGGATGAGGGGTTCACTATGCAGGCTGCCCTGGGGGAGGGGGGGGGGCGCGACAACCCCAGCCCTATGTTACTACAGCAACCTGGGGCCAAGTGAGAAGCGCCTGTCCATCTCTCTCTCAAGCACTTTATTCCTTGCCATAGAACAGTTCACATGCTTAAACTTGATCCCTTATTATATTCTGTAACATGAACATATGACCTGTGTGAATGCACAATCCAATAGATCGGAATCAAAGACCGAAGTCGCTGTTTAGAATGACAGATAGGAGACAAGTACAATAGCTCAGACACTCAGGGTTTGTCTATACAGCACTGGCTGCTGTGCTCCAACTGCCGTATCTGTTGGCGCAGGATACCTAGTTTTCCTCGGTACCGAGGAAGTTTCAGTTTGTGTTTCAGTTTCAGGGTCTACATAGGGCAATTAGAGCATAGCATATTAGAGTACTCTCCAAATCTCACACTTAGTGCACACTGTCACTGTGTACACAAGCTGAAATATGGATATCCTTAATATTTGGATCTCCATAAGCCAGAGGTGAGAAATCTAAGGCCCAGGGACCAGATGTGGCCCTGGCTTGCCTGGATCCGGCCGCCAAGACTGAGGCCCCCTGCCCAAGCACTGGAGAGCCTGTGCCGGTAGTCCATCCCCTGCGGGACTAGAGCACACAAAAATCTACTAGCCTGGGCTCACCTAGGCTATGCTGTGAGAGGGGAATGTGGGGAGCGTCTTTCTGCTTCTCAGTCTGGGGCCATACCAGCAAGGGTTTTTTTGTTGTTATTTTTGTTTCTCACTTGTGTGCGGCCCCCGACTGGTTCCCCAGCCCTGCCATAAGCACTCCAAGCTCATTTCAAAATGCAAACCACTCCTCCTGTTAAATAATCTCTTAACAGAGTCTACAAAAAGGTGTTGTTTGTCAGTCAAAAGCCTATCTAAACATACACGCACTCACACATCCAACAAAAAAGCATTGCTGTGGTATCTGTGGACATCACTAGTGAGAATAAGCTCCAGCTGGCTATACAAAATTCTGTCTATTAAGGATTTTCACTTTACCATGTGCTAGTTCTGACCATTCATGTTTTTGAGGTCAGATAATGCACAATGGAAGCCTCACAGTTTCAACAATATGCAAATACAAACAAAGGGAATGGTGATTTGTTCTCAGTCCTACTAGATCACTGGAAAGGATACTCTGCATTACAGATTTATAATGTATTATCTATGATGGCCTAATGTTATCTATGATTATCTAGTGTTTGAAGGGCAACTTTTTCTGAAGGATCTATTTGTGGTTTTACTTACCGGGCGAGTAGACAAAAGATTTCTGAGTAGTCCCAATGTTTTCATTAGAACGTTTACATCTGAATCAGAGAGTAACTGGAATAACTGCTCCGTACTCAAACCTCGTAAGATGTCTGCTTTGATCTTTTGTTCTGCTTGAAATGCCATATTCTGAAAGAAAGAGATAAAAACTGAGTCACACGCTTCATATTAGCATTTCTCCTATTAATTTTCTCTCAAAATGTGGTTTCCATTTTGTCCACAAAAGAATGATTACATCTGCAATGCATATGTACTAGATAAAATAAACCTGTGAACAAGCAAGGAAAGATTACTCACTTTGTAGTATCTGGAGTTCTTTGAGATTTGTTGTCCCTATGTGTAGTGCACTTCAAGTGATTCACAGGCAACAGCTCATCAAGGAGGTGGATACCCAGAGTCCAGCGCCACAAAAAACTTCGCAAGTGCCCTGCCCAAGGAAACATCTGAGGCAGCCCCCTCTACCAGTGTATAATGCTTCACAAAAATGTGTTCAGAGACTCAAGTCACTGTTCTGCAGATGCCTGGACAGAAAGTGCTCTCCCACTGCCCACAAGAGAGAGACTGTTCATCTCATCAAAGAACATGATGCACTCTGGGATACCTTTTGACAGTTTCTGAGTGGAAATGGTCTCTCTTTCATACATTCCATAAATGATACAGTCTAGGATATTCCCAAAATGTCATCATCTGTAGTAGATGGCAAGGTCCCTATGCATATCCAAGGACATCACCTCTTCCCACCTGGTATGTGGTTTAGGGTAGAACACAGAGGGATACTTGATGTGAAAGTGACACCATGACAGGGAGGAACTTCAGGTAATGTCTCGCTGGTGCCTTACTCTTATGGAAAACTGTACTGGGGTGAGAGATCTGCCACAAATGCCCTTAACTCTGCACTTCTTCTGGCTGACATGACTGAGATGATACATGGAAAGATGTAGTAGACAACAAGATCCTAAAAGCTCAAAGGGCACTTTTATCAGACTTGACACATCAGATTCACATCCCAGGCTGGTATCTGCTATGCTACTGGAGGCAAGACTCTAATCTTGCCTTTCAGGAACAGAGATATAACTAGATGAGAAAACATGAAGTACGTGTGTACAGGTGGGTAAAATACACTGATGGCCACAGTGTTCCATGGATTCTCATAACTCTGTGATTCCTGACCAATGGAGAAATTTGTTATTGATCACACCAGAATATAAATCTCTTCTGCTCTGCTGCATGGCATTTTCCAGTAGAGTCCTTCCTAGTATTGCTAAGTACAACCTGGACTCATGGCAAATGAACCACAGTGAGGATCATCTACAGTTTCCACTCCACAAAGTGCCCTTGCGTGTTGATGCAATAAACTGTGTCCATGTTGTCTGATAACATTTGCACTGCACAATTTTAAAAGTGAAGGAGGAATTGCCTGTAGGGCAGCCTGATAGCTCTCCACTCCAACACGTGGGAGGCAAAGGACCAATGTCTTTGGGCACCCTTTTCTGTGCATTTGTGATGCTTACAAAGCAACTCATAAATACCGCAGATGGCAAAAACCTGGTGAGACTCTGTTGAAACTGTGGCTTGCTGAATTTCTGCTTAATCATAGACATATATATGCCAACCAATTGGGGCAAGACTTAATGAGCAGAGGGACTCCTCCATCTTTGTACTGAACAGCATTGCACTCGAATGGACGGTCTTTTGTACTTTGTACCGAAGAAGAGAGCTATGACAAGCATCTCGTACTATCTCTGCTGCATCTAAGGCCATCTAAAGAGAAGACCTGGCCACCAGCTTTTCTTTATTAACGAGAGCCTGAAATTGTTTCCTGGTATTATAGTTCCCTGTAGGGTGTGCAGCTGCACAGGAAAAATTTAAGACCCACCCACTTCGTTAGAAGAGCCATGCAGCAGTGCGCCTGCAGCCCTGCACTAATTAGATACTTCTTCCAGAGTGCTCCTGACGCTGTAGCTGGAAGTAGAAAAAGGTAAGCTGGTGGGCTTGGTGTGGGGAATAGGAGCTGCTTTATAAAAAAAAAGCGCCTTGGCAGAATGGCCAGGATGCTCTTTGTCCCTTGCCCCTTCCCTCTTTCTGGCGGCAGCTCAATGTTTTGTTAGGCTGCTTTAAATAAAGCCTACTCTACCCCCCCAAGACAACTCCAGCTGCTGGGCTGCTGTTCAGACTATAGGGCAGGGATAAAAAGACAGAGCAATTCAAATCTGAGAATGAGACTGCGGTAACTTGGTGCTACAAGGCTGAAGCTTGCTGTCCACCCATATTATTCAGACACTGCTTAGGTGCAGAAATAAAAGTTAATTAATAAACTATGCAGAAGGATTTCACTCCTCACTCCTTCCCCAGAGCGGAATCATACCAGCTTTGATGAATGAAAGATTTGAAATGTAAACAACTGAAATATTTTTAAAACCCTGTATCCTAGATAATAGGGAGCAATATGTGCTCAGAAATGAGCCATTAAATAACAACCTTTAATTTCAAGCATAAAATGTACAACTATTTCATTTCATGTATCGATACTAAAGATAAAGTATTTGGTTTGCCGTGTCAAGAAAATGGACAATTTTGTTTTATGCCTCAAAGGAACAGATACATATAAGATACCAAATGGCTACTGAAAAATCTGCAGTATTAATTATCTTTTTATTTGATTTCATATTAAATAAAGTTATTACCTTGTTAATTATCCCTTCTTTTAGTATTTTTAGTCCATAACATTTTTAAAGTCTTAGTAACTGGCAGGCGCCACAGTGACACACATCCTCACAAGTGTATGACAAAACTCGTTGGCTACTCGTAGCCATTCTGTTCATGGATGGAAAACCTTAGAGGGAACATTGCTTAAGTTCCTTAGGCATTTTGTCTATTAAGTCTGTCAGCTTGTTATAAAAACTAAAATCATATTTGGCCATCTTTATAGTTTGAAACTCCAAACTGGAGAGATGCTGATGAGTATGTCTTCCTCCCACAGAGGTCCAACCTCTCAGTCTCTCTTCAATGAGGCAGAGATCTGACTCTTGCTCAGTGGATGCTGACACTACCCGAGCTGGGTGAGAGAAGAGGTACTCTGACCTGCTTAGATAGTGGCGGAATGGTGGCAGGGGTCTGCCAATGTGTCTTGGGGCATTTGAGGATGGCTTCATTTATTTGAAGTACAATTCTACTTGTCCCGAGCTGTACTCCTGCACAGAGTGCCTTTTCAAGGGAAACCTGTAGCTTCTGTGCCATCCTTTCCAGCAAGTTCTGGAAGTCCTTGAGATCATGAGGATATGGTGCAGAAGCTGGTAGCACAGCCATTGGCAGAAGAGGAGGACGGGGTCACAGGCATGGTATTCCCTTATTCCTGTTATTTCTCTCCTCTATGTTGCACTTACTGGGGAGGCTGAGAAAGGTTTTCTTCCCTGGGAGCTTTAAACCTCAGTGGGTTCTGTGTCATGGAGCGGGTAAACTAGGCAATAATCTTGCGAGTTTTCTGGGCCCCGGTTACTGACACTCCTGGCCGATGGGTACAAATATGTAGAGGAAGGGCACTGCCTCATCTGGAAGTACTGAGATACCGTGGAGACTCCTGATGTTCTGTCTGAGCTAAACCCTCAGCGAGTAGTGTAAGGATGGGTGTCCCCTATTCTTCTTTCGAGTCCAATCTCTAATCCAACGTGAGACCTCTTCGTACCAGAGGATGCAGTGATGACATTTTTCTATTCATCAATGGTACAAGTTATAGTCTAGCCCAGTGGCTTTCAATAGACCCCTGAGGCTCCAAAGACAATGTCTAAAGGGTTTGTGAAAGATTGCTACCACAGAACAACCTGCCGTCTGCAGACTATTGTCTAAGATTTTGAAAAGGTTCTTCACCGGAATTTAAAATTCATTATGAGTCTGCAAACGAAAATAGATTTAAAACCACAGGGTCAAGCCAGTGGTTCAAACCAGGCTCGAAGAGTCATATTCCAAAGCCAGAAGGGTCCACTGTGATCATCTAGTCTGATCTCCTGTAGAATGCACACCACAGAAGTTCCCTACAATAATTCCTAGAGCACATCTTTTAAAGCAGTTTTGGATGTTTTCTAAAACTTTGCCGGTGATGAGACTTGATAAATTGTTCTACTGGTTAATTACTTTTGCCATTAAAAACTACTCCTTAATTCCAGTCTGAATTTGTCCAATTTCTGCCCACTAAACTGTGTTGTACCTTTCTCTGCTAGATTTTGAAGCCCATTTTCAAATGTCTGTTCCCTATGAAGATACTTAGAAACTGATCAAGTCATCCTTCAAAATTATCTTCGTTAAGCCAAACAGACTGAGCTCCTTGAGGTACTAACAAGGCAGGTTTTCTAAATATTTACTCATTCTCATGCTTTTCTCTCAATTTAAAAATTGTGAACATCAGAACTGGACCATTTCCAAATATAGATGGAAAAATAACCTCTCTACCCCTACTCAAGATTCTCCTTTCTATATATCCAAGGACTGTATTAACCCATTTGGGCCCAGAGTTACACAGGGAGCTCATGTTCAGCTGATTAACCACCATGACCCCCAAATCTTGTTCAGAATCAGATGAGAATGGTAAGCGGGACCACAGAAATATCGGTACCAGCTGTTGTCATGAAAGCGGGTGCGAGACTAGACAATATCAGTGATTCTGCTTCCATGAGCACGGTTAGGCCACGGGGTGCTGAGAAGGTTCTGTAACTTGGACCACCAGTGCCAAAAGCCCCAGGTCTGACGATGCTATTGCCACACAGGGGTTGGCACTGAAGTACGACTCTTGGTAATGGAGGGTGGCTCTGTCTTTTCCTTTGATGAAGTCCTGAGCAGGTCAATCTCAGAAACAGACATTGGTGTCCAGAGCACAAAGTTTCCTGACTTGGTACAGGACAGGGACTTCTGTCTCCTCTCAGAGGGCTTGGATATGGAGGTTGAACTTCCCCTCTTGTCTTTATGGGAATGTTTGTCTCTCCCATCTGCCCTGTCTTTAAACTGACTGGTGACCAGGGAGGTGGGGATGGGGGGGAGAAATGGTAGCAGAGGTTTAGGAACTGGACTGAAAAACTCAAGAGGTGGCTCCAACTTTCTTCAGTCTGAGGTACAAGAGGGTCTCTCCCTAGTCGAAGGCTGTCACCAAACTGACAGATCGATCCACGAGGAATGCTTGCAGTTGGAAGTCCCCTGACGACTGTGTCTTACTGGGGAACAAACTGCAGACCCTGAACACGTTTCCCCCAAATTGTACAGACGGGTATGATGATAGTGACCAGGAAAGGGGTATGGCAGTTGACAGTTCTTTTGAAACTACAGATTTCTGTCATATTCCTCCTCCTCTTATTGCAAGATCAGGGGGAAAGGGAAAGAAGTGCTTCTGTGCAGGAACCACTCCTCACCCCAGGAAGATGGCAAGGTGTCCTAAATCTTAAGGACTAATGCCCAAATATTTATCCTAATGACAATTTAAGTATGGAGAGAAGAAGAAGTTAGTACATACAGTGAAGCGCTGTGCCAGTCCAGGAGAGTCAAGAAGGAACTAAGACGCAGAGCATGAGAAAACTGGGGGTGCATGTATGGACCAGACACTCATTCAGGAAAAATCCTCCAGTTCTGAGCCCATAGAAAGCATGTGCAATACATGAAGTACACCACACAGAGAAACAAGCACTTAAAGAAAAACTTCAATTTATGAAGGACATTTTTGGATCTCCACATTCCTGACAAAGTCCCAAAACTCACTCAGTTTCCCTCATTTTAAATCTTCCTGCTTACCAGTACTCAGCAATAGCCTTACTTTTGAACCAGATATGCTGCTCAATTAGCTCTTGACTGACATGCACAAGTGAAATTGATGAGGTATGAATTTTTATTCTTGCTTTGATTCTTTAATTTTACACTCCTTGCATAATTCCATGGATTTATGCTTCATTGTATTTGTTGGAAATTATGGCACTGTGAAGCTTACATGAACCACATGCTTCAGGTATTCCTAAACCTCCAATAGCTAGATGTTAGAACGGGATGATAGATCATTCAAAATTGCCCTGTTCTTTCCCTTCCCTCTGAAGCATCTGGCACTAGCCACTGTCAAAAGAAAGGATACTGCTCTAGATGGACCATTGATCTGACTAAGTATGGCCTCTCTTTTGATACTTTCAGTGACTGATCACTATTTTCTTGTATAGTTACATATACAGGCAGGCTGAACGTCTGCAACTGTGTTTAGTAACTGGTATGATCTTCATGGTCAAAAATAAAGTTCAGAATCTCTTTCCTTGAAGTGTATTTGGGTGGCTGACTGGTTGTGTGTGGTGTTTGTATAATTATTTCATTAGAGGGAGTACTTACCATTAAAGCCCAAATGCCATTCACTCGCAAAGCAAGATTTTCACTCTGGGTTAAACTACATAGAAGTTCTATAGCTCCTGATTCTAAAATAGGCTGCAATGAAAAGAAAAACAGATAGCTTTAGAACACTGTGTGAGAATTTACTGGACTTACATATACATCAATGATCTATAAACATGGTAGCACACTATGTTTATCTCAAGGTGGACCTTGGTTACATTGAGGAAATGCAGACACAACTATAATGAAATGTGTAGACACACGCTCTTTCCGGATTGTCTCAGACTGCTAGCAGGGTAGCCCCTTTCATAAAAGGCCACCTTCATTGAACAATGGATTTTGCTCCCTTGAGCAGACGTGTAAAACAGATTTTACTGTCTTTAACTGCATTTAAACAGGCTGTATTTGCTCTTCACATTCACTAATGAAGACACACTGAGATGTAATGACTTCAACACACGTACAAATAGAACAACAATAAAGCAAAAAAGACTAACTCTTAAAGACTTCTGGTGACAACTTGAGTAAAACTCAAATCACTTGTGAAATTATCAGACCCTGAGGTTAGGTGACAAATACAAACAGATGAATTTTGAAAGCCCTAAACCATTAAATGAAACAGAACCAGACATAGGATGATAAAAGCTTGAGACCGTGAATCCACAAGAGTCAGGAAACTCTGAGTGAACGTTGCCAATGGGACAACAGGCCACATTCTGCCCTCAGTTACACCTATGTAATCCGCAGTAACATCATCAAAGTCAGCGGAATTACTCCAGATGAGAGGACATTTGTCCTATGCACAAGGTCTGCAAAAGTGCTCTGCACCACTTACATCTCACATGAGGCCTCAAAATAGGTGAGGGCTCCCTGCACAGGGGTGAACTTCACTGAATTTACATGTGAAATGTGTATACGTGAAAACACAATTTGGCCCTTAATTCTGTTTGCTCTCATGTATGCTTTATAACAGGGTCTTTTATTACAGGTTGCCAGAACACTGCTGTGGCATGATTTGGCAAACGTTAATTTACAAATATGGATTAACCATTACAAATTTAAAAATGAAACACCTTGGGTGACATGGTTTATTCTGAAATTGTGGAATAAACAATAAAATGCCATATATCTTTGCAAACACTTAACTGTAAATGTTATCGCCTGATTGAGATTAAATGTATATTAGCTTTTTTCTAATAATCACTGTTCCCAGTGGTATTAATACTTGTCTCAATGTTGAACAAGTATTATAACAGAGTGAGAAAAGTGTGCTGACACTCCTTGGCAACTAAAATACAAATCTGTATTAAGATAACAAATACCAGAGCTGCCAATCTGTTGATCTGGGCAAAATGCTGATGGAAATCAGGCAGGAGCTAGAGCTGGGATTCCCAACATCTCCTTGATCTCTGCAGATTTCACTTGCAGAGATCAGGGAGAGCCTCTGGCCTTTATGTAATAAAAGATTTTAGTTATAACCTTATTATTTATTCAGTCCCTCATTGTCATACCCAGCATCACTCAGGGTATGTCTACATTACCACCCTAGTTCGAACTAGGGTGGTAGTGTAGACATAGTTCTCATTGAGAACTATCTGCCTCTCTTTAGGCCTCCGCTATTCCTGCCTTTTGTCTCCATTTCCTCCCCAACCTTCTCTTTTTCCCTTTTTCTGTGTCTCTCTTATGTTCTTCCCTCTGCATTTCCTTCCTTGCAGGTACACCAACCTGCGTTGTAGCTGCTAAAATTACCAGCAATTAACTAGATCATGTTTCTAGGGTTTGTTTTTTTTAAGAGACTAGTGCTTATGAAAATTCTTTGTTTGACAGCCCCAGAGACTGAAGTTATCTGATTAATCTCTAGAGAAAATACAGCCCAGGCAGCAAGGCAGATTTTCAAATGAAAAAAAAAATGTATAAAATCTTATTAAAGGAAGAGTCTATCTGTAAAGTTAAGTCTCATACAGACTATGCACATCTAACTACATTTCATAGAACCACTTATTCTGTCATATCACTGCACAATTAACAGGGTATTTTTAATTGACAGCCTATCGATGATAAAATTCCACCACCCTAACATTACAACTATAATCACCTGATAGTGATTTAAAAACTTCTTTAGTTACTCAAAAGTCATTGCTGTAACACAGAGTACTACTAAACAGCATGAAGAGGAAATAGGGGACTACCAACCTCTTTGCTTGGAGAGAATTCAAGGAGAAGGTTGCATAGTGTGGAAGATGCTACCACCAGGACTTCATCTGGAGCATTCTGTAAAACCTGAGGGCACAAGGAGGAGAGTGGGAAGCGCCATTAACTGTTATGAAGGAGACTAAAATCACATTTAAACAAAGTTCAAGTTTTGCTTAGCAAGAGCCAGACGTGTTGCAGTGACCTCATACTGCAACGAAGGGTTATGCTGAGATTTGGGAATTCACTTCCATGTCACGCTGAAGTAGGGCAGTTTTTGAACAAAGACCTTCGGGCATTGTGATCTGCATGGCACTAGTGCCTATGCGAAGGTAGGATAGAGGAGCTATTAGTCTCCCCCACCCACACACTCGTGTCCTTTTCTTCCATAGTCTGTGATTGATTTGCTCCACAGAGGAACAGCTTTTTAAAATAGTCACATTTTTCCTTTTCAGTGGACTGCTGTGCTGGCTCACCAAAGAGGAGCAATCTACTCTCCCCTTATGAATGGAACATCTCTTCAATGTGCTAAGCAGTCCAGGTGAGAATGAGTCTTAAGAGAAGTCTGTTCTCCTCTGGGGTAGTGGCAACTCCCACAAGAGGCTTTGTGCAAACTGCAACTATTTACATCATATCCTCACATGTACTCTGAACTCCTGAGGATGGGGAAAGACTCTGGTTCCTTCAATATGAGGAAGTCCTGCGAGAGAAACCTGAAGGGTACTTGAGGGCATTTGCAGCCTGACATTGGAGCCTGGGTTGGTGCCAGGGTCTGGAACAGGGATGGGTACCAGGTTGGAAATGCTGTACATTGTACTGGAGAGCTGACTGGACAGGATCTCTCAGCTCAGAGTGCTGCTGTCATTAAGACGACAGTACCAGAACATGTGTAGGAGCCGTTGGTGCATCTCAGTGCCAAGAGGTGTCCTATGGTACTGAGGTAGATGCTTCTAAGCAATGCCTAATGGAAAGCTTTTCTGATCAAGGCTTTTCAGAGTGTACCAATGCCTTACTATTTCAGTAAGAGACTCAGCTGTACCCTTTGCCAGACACAAGGTCTCCTGGGAGTCAGATTTATGGGATGATCTACCCTTTAGATTCCTTGGAATGGGAAAGAGGCTTATTTTCTTCAATATTTTCATCTCTGGAGCTGCTGCTCAAACTCTCCTCTACGAACGTGAGACTTGGATGATCTACAGAAAACACCTGAAAAAACTGGAACATCAGCACCAGCACTTTCTTTGGAAGAGCCTCAAGAGAAAGAAGGAGGATCATTGCACTAACGTGTGTCCTCTCAGAGGCCAACATCTTTAGTGTGTTGAAGCAATTATCCTGCATGAGCTGGGAGATGAGGAGAAGCAAGGCACTGTGTGTGCATATCTACTGTACGCTTACCAAAACAACTTCCGTATGCTCAAAGGAGAAAGGAAATGAGAGGCCAAAAGAAACATCTGAAAGACATCAAGATCAACATCAAGAGATGCGGCATTGACCACGTATTGCAAGACAGTAGCCCAAAACAGGGATAGCTGACAAAGACTTGTCAGAGGGGAACATCCAATTTTGAGGGAAAAATCACCTTGCCCAGTCACAGAAAAAAGAGACAGACAAATATCACGCAGCAGTTGTGGCCCAACCATGACTTCCCATGCCACCTCCAATGTCTGTCAAAGAGCTCCTGGCTCACAGATTGGAGTCCTCAGTCATCAGATGATCCATAAAAAATAAGCCCCTATGAAAGGGCTCATCTTCAGACTCAAGAGATTGCCAATGATATATCTTGTAAGAGTTTCTGGCTCCTCTTAATTCTGGTGCTACTTCCAGGACCCCTGAAGACACGTTGAAGCTCAGGTTGTCAAGTATCAGGGGGGTAGCCGTGTTAAGTCTGAATCTGCAAAAGCAATGAGGAGTCCCATGGCACCTTATAAACTAACAGATTTATTGGAGCATAAACTTTAGTGGGCAAAGACCCACTTCGTCAGATGCATCTAATGAAGTGGGTCTTTGCCCACTAAAGCTTATACTCCAATAAATCTGTTAGTCTATAAGGTGCCACAGGACTTCTCGTCAGGTTGTCAACACACTTGCCTGGCTTATACCATGAGACAGGAGAGTTTATACCCTTTACAGATTTTCATTCCGTTTAACCTAGTTGTGAATTTTGTTAAACTCAGGATTTGTAATGAATTGCACAGGAATTAACAGGACATTATTTTTCCTTTTATCATTTTAAAATCTGCTGCCTTTTAACCTCATTGAATGCCCCCCACCCTTGTTCTAGTCATATGAAAAAGCACAAACAGAAATTTTTACTGACCTTTTTTACATTATTCATTGTTTATATACCCCACCATGTCATCACTAATTCATTAATCTTCTAAGCTATATGGCCCTCATCGTCCTATGTCTTTTCATTTTTGTTGAGCTTCTCTGTACCTTTCCTATTTCTGCTGTATAAGATTTGAGGGCAGAACTCAATACACAGTCTAGGTACAATTATAACCCAGATTTACACAACATTATAACATTTTCATTGTTATTATTTATTAATACCATTTCACAGGTGCCTACAAGTGCTAGTCAGGGGGCAAGGACCCATTTGTGCATAGCACTGTACTCTCTTTTTCTTCAGGTAATGTAATATTTTACACTTGAATCTCCATACTCCGGGTGTCCCTAATCCAGCTGGGGAAACAGCAGCACAGCAACCCGTTTCTCTAGAGGCTTTACCTCACCTCTCCCAGAGCAGGAGGGGGCAATGCCTGGGAGCAGCAGGGAAAAAGGAAGCGTGTGTGCTCTGGAAGCGGGGAGCCAGGCAAGTACCCTCTCATCGCCCTCACACCCTGACCCAGCAAATTCTTTAATCCGGAATACCATTTACCCAGTTTCCCAGGGTTGCCAGAATAGAGAGGTTCAAGTGTATTTGCTTTTTTGACGAAAGCTGTGCAACTGAACAGGTTTTCATGGAGGTGCCAGCTATTCAGTGGAACACCACTGGCTCCTATGCAATAAGCTTAACCACCATGCATCCTGGAGAACAAACAGGGAACAGCAGATACTTTTCTTCTGTGCAAATCGCAGGAACAAAGCCTCTTAGCCTTGCACATTCCTTCTGGTTGGTTTGCCCATTCTGTCCTGCAGAGGCTGCCATTTCCCCAGAGACAGCTTCTTCTGTCCTCTCTCAGTGTGGATGACAATGCAAACCATGCTTGTTTCCTTCTAGTTTCCATTTAAGCAGCCTGATTTTAAAATTATAAGCCATGCTTCCTCTCTCCTCCATGCGGATGGTGATTCTGGGGCTGAGTTACCCCTCAGGCAGCAATGTATGACACTCAAGAGGAACACGGATTTTACATTAGACTGAAGAGCAATGCTCTTCCCACCATCATGGTCCCTGCCTCTTCCAGCATCCCACTCTCGGTGGAGTGTAGGATTAATATCCCCTCCCTTTGGCTGCAGCCTGACTTGAGGTTGCTGTGACAGGCTGAGCAAGGGAGCAGAGGGGAACCCTTTCTATGTTGCTGAGTAAGGGCGAGGGGCAATCTGGCTTTCAGTCCCTGTTTTATTTTGTAATATATTGTATTACATTTCAAAAAAGAAAATGCAGGCCACAACGCTGTTTGTGTTACTGGACTTTTGCTGATTTGCAAGCCTCTAGAGAAGATCACCCATAACAAATGTCAAGGTGATTCTATTTTCTGTCTCACCTTCATTAAGGGTTTCCATACTGCATGATCCTGGAAACTTGTCCGTAGCTGCTGCACTGACCGGGACAAACTGTGCAAACATCTACAAAGAAAAATAAAATGAGTTGCGAAATACTTACTTTGTTTCTCGCCATAAAAATACAGCCAGGAATTTGATGATAATTAATACAAACACTAAGAAATATTTTATTACTGTCTCTGATGAATTTTCGGAAACTAGAAACCACTTTAAGTTTTAGTCTACAATTTCTAGCAAATCGAGGACCAAAAAGAGAGCAGAGATAAACATACTGAAAATTATTTTAGTTTAGAAAAGGAAAGCACATACCTGACTGCAGATAGCCGCACCTTGATACTAGACTCAGACAAGCCATTCACAATTCGGTCCATCATGTTTTCAGTCTCAATGATCTGGAGAAAAAATGTTAACCATGCATAAACAACATGAGGTGGACAACTTTTATATTGTAACTGCTATGGTTTATTGTAGTTTATCTATGACATTCTAAGTATTGCATATGAAAAGATAATTTACTCTAGAAACAATCACCACTCCTATTTTGCCTTAAGGAACCACTGAACTCATCAATTAAACATCATAATCTACTCTCTTTGCCTGACTCATTATCCTCTGATGCTTTGTAAAGCCACTGATGGAAAAATGGGGAGGTTCTATAAGGCTGTGCTGGCTGTGTACAGTACAGCTTGTGTTTCAGTACGGTGTGCAAATACCCAAGGAACAAAGCATGTTGCTCTCGAATCTTTGAGGATGTGGAGGAAATCATCAATTTTCTGTTGGAAAGATTGAATTCATCGAAAGGGAAATCTTCAATGATGTTTTGTACTTCTCTGGGAAACCAGAGGAATGGAGTCATGATTCCCTCCTCATGACAATGCAAATGGCCACTTAGAATAATGAGGTAACTGCCAGATTTACTACAGATTGGAGCAAGGTCTTCACTACCAGCTTCCTCTTCTCCATTCTTGAAAGTGGGCCCAGCATTGTTGGTAGCTGAAGTGCACCTGCTGCTGTGGATAAATCTCTAACATTTCCATATAACCATGTATTAAGAGATTTTATATATACAGATCTTGTTCTTTTAGATATATCTTTATGTTAAGCTTTCTTATAGAATCCTTGTACTAAGAGAAACCTTGTATCCAATCTTTTCCATAGAAACTTTGTATCAAGCGCTTTGGCTGGACATTTCCAAAGAAACAGATGACAGATTTCTGAATAGTTGAATATTTTGAAGCATTTTATAAGGAATCTGTTGAGTTCATGGTGAGGGGAGTGCTGTTCTGTGTGGTTGTGTCTACACTGGCGTGATCTTGCACAAAAGCGGCCGCTCCTGCTCAGGAATAAGCCCTTTTGCGCAACTATTCTTGCGCAAGAGGCCAGTGTAGACAGGCAATGTGAATTTCTTGCACAAGAAAGCCCTATGGTTAAAATGGCCATCAGAGCTTTCTTGAGCAAGAGAGTGTCTACACTGGCAAGGATGCTCTTGCAAAAAAGCACATGCCAGTGTAGATGCTCTCTTGCGCAACTACTTTTAACGCAAAATCATGCCAGTCTAGACGCAGCCTTTATGTTTTAGGTCTTAGGAATAGTTAAAGTAAAGAAAAATGTCTTTTGCTAGGAGTAGAATAGATCTCTCCTCTTTCCTTGATTGCCCTGTTGAAATGAATGAGGTGTGAATGCAGACTGAAAGGTGAGCACCTCCAGCAGCAGTTGCAAGGGTGGAGAGGGGCTGGGAGCCAGATCCAAGACAATACCTGTGAAGTGAACTCATTGAAAAGAAGACTGGACATACAGGTGCCTTGGGAGTCGAGCAGCAAGTGCCTGCCCTTGGAAGAACTCTCTTTGAAGCAGCATTAGGAAAGGCAAGGTGATGATTAATTGGCTGCATCAGAATGATAAATATGAGGCATCTTACAGAGGGACCCCGGGTTTTCGTCTTGTCAACATCAATCCGGATCAGCAGAAGCCCGGCTCCACCCCTCCCCCATCTAACTTACCTGGCCAGTGCAGTTAGGGGGAGCAACTATTGGTAACAACAAGGAGTGTGCTTGTGCATGTGTGTGTGTGAATGCATGAGTGTAACGTGTCATATGCATATGATAAAGTATTGATTGATCTATGTACGTTCAATCAATGTGGCGTGTTGCCTTATCCCCCTGAAAAAGATTCCGGGTGCTTCTTTTAAGCACAACACTGTGAGGAGAAGTTTCAACTTAAGCTCCCACTTCTTACAAGATGTCATCTTTAACTGTTGGCAGATGCTGCACTTCTGCACAACGTGTCTCTCTCCAATTCACTGGATGCAACCAAAGTGTCTGTCCATTATTAATAGAAATGAATAAGTGTCTGTCCATTATTGGGATTGCCTCCTTGCAGGAGAGGCATCTCGAAGTCAGGGGAACTGGCCATGCCAATGTAGGGGAGATATCCCCAACAAAATGCAGCATACAGTGAAAGAAAAAGTCTTCTTTATTAACCCAAAATCAGAAACTCTAAACTACTAAAAAAGACACGGAAACTAAGAATGGCTACTACTTACACTAAATACTATCCAAGTCAAGAATGACAAGACTACTGCTTGCTCCATTCAAGGTCAAAGGAGGCTGAGAAGAAACTGGGAGAGGGTTTGCTCATGTAGCTCTAGACAACCTCGAGGCAGACCATGAAGGAGGGAGATTGCATGTGAACCCTGCTACCAAAATTCTCCGATTAGAAGTGCATGGGTACGAACACCTAGAGTAGCACACCCATAGGGACATTGCTTAAAGAATGTAGGGATATGCTTTACATCAAAACCATTTTTAGAGATTTTAAATTTCAGCTGATCACTTACCATAAACCCATCACTTGAAGCTCTATATACACAATATTTGCATATTAGCAACATTTAAAAATATAATCAGGCCATATCCTGAAGGACACACGCACAATATGAGATGTGAATTTCTTTATGACATTAGAAAGGAGGTATTTCTGCAAATAAGCTTTTATAGTATTGTTGATTGTGTTTGTTGCTTCACAGTGTAAAAATCAAACTTATCTGGAACTCACGCCAAAGAAATGCACTGTAATGTTAATTTAACACATTGTCAATCCAACATGTCAAAACCAAACTTGAATGCTACACATTCTTCACTTATGCTGTTAGTCTCTCTACTTTATCTCATTCAGTCAGTAATAAGGCAATTCCACCATGACTTTCAGGTTGATGTCACTCCTTGCCTAATGGCTGCCAACATCAAAGGATGACCCTCACGCAGACTCACCTTCTTCCGGATGTCTTCATCGTTTGCTCCAAGTGAAGCATACAGCTTGAATGCAGCCTGGCGCAGTTCGTGAGCATGCTTTAAGTCATGGTCAAGCTATTGAAAAAAATAATCCAAGTCAGATATCATATGAGCTAGAATTCAGACCTGCAAATGGGATTTTCTTAATTGTTACAGTTTAGTTCCTGTTGACTCGGGTTTTGATTGCATTACACACCAAACAGGCAGGGATCACCATAAACTACAGATCAACTCTAAGTATGTGCTTATGTCCCACTGAAATCAGTATCTAAAGTTAAGCACACTATTAAGTGCTTTTCTGAATTGTAGCCTATACTGGTAAACAAGCAGGTAAACCAAGCAGCATACATAATGAACATCTCAAAATACAAGACGAGACCAGTTAACGTTTTTTCAGACCCAACAAGACCCGCTCTCCTCCTTTATCACCAGATTGAAATGGCCTCCTTTCACATTCCCACCCCACACAGAATTACATGTTCAGACTGGGGGAAAACAGGGATGTGGATATCCAAGGAGTTTGTGCACTGCACCTCAACCAGAAGAACAGACACCTGCAGCCATGAGTTATGCTGCATCACAATGGCCATTGTACATGCTGCTGAGTCTGCAGAATCCAGGGCCGCCTGCAAGGTCATCTATGTGACTGTGTGGCCCTTTTGCAGCAGCACTGAAAACTCCTGCCGAGGGGTGGGGAGAAGCTCTTGGAATTTGAAGAGGACATTCCAGGAGTTAAATACATACTGACTGAGGAACACCTGCTGGTTTGAGACCTGCAGCGGAAGCCTCCCAGTTGAACAGATGTTGCACTTGAATAGGTCTAGCATTTTAGCATCACTCTCAGTGGTTAACCACATCCACCAGCGAGCTTGGCTGAGGGTGAGTATACAGGTGCTCATGCTCCCTCTGACACACAAAATAGCACCTCTCCACTCCCTTCATTATGGTGCAATTGAGGCAGGGATCTGGAAGATCATTATGGTGCAATTGAGGCAGGGATCTGCCAGAGAACCTTGGTGATTGTCTGGATTGACTCTTCAACTACCTCCTCTGCCAGTAGATTGAAGCCCTGAGCAGGACCCAGCAGGTCCTAGAATCCATAGAGGGCAGTGACAGGGTGATACCCACCAATATTTCATCAGGGGATGACAAGAAAGATGCCACCATGGGGACCAGGTCATCTTGGTCTGTCTGTTCTCTGTCCATGTCCCTGGCCAACTGGGAGTCTAGAAGTGGAATTGTCGGTGGGGCCACCATCACGGCCTGTCCCTCCTGCCCATTAGGGTCCTGCACAGAAAGTGAGTCTGGGGCCACTGACAAGGCAGAAGTTGGTGCCCGAGTGAAAGGTGCCACTGAGGTAGCCCAAAAGGACGTTTCCTGGCCCTGGCAATAGACCTATAGGGTACAAAAGGGCCATTGAACTGGCATCTGCATTGAGGAGGCCAGGCCTGCTTTGGCACAGTTGGGTCCTCTGGGTATTAGTGCCAGTAGTAGTGCTGAGAACGGAAGTAGTACCACGAGCTCCTGGACACAAAGGACTCCAATTCCTAAGTATACTCCAATGCTGACCATGGAGGAGCTGACTCTTGATAGTGCTGAAGAATGGTACTAAGGCAAGCAGGCATGGATGCTCATGGCAACTGGCTTCCACGGTGCTGCGGTGTTGAAGAGGTCACCAGTGCTGGTGGCACAGCCATAGTCAATGCTGAAGTCGTGAGTGCCATGCTCGATGGGTCCCGTGTATCAATGCTGCCCATGAACATGGGTGCAGATAGAGGTGCCATCAATGCCTTCGACACCAGTGCCACCAGGGGAAGCTGCTGCACCTCAAATGGTGCCATCATCATGAGTTCAATGAGGTTCCATGTGGCCTCAAACATGTCTGGTATGGAAGGAAGACTGAAGTGCTCCTCCATTAGCACTAGCAACAGGGAGTCAATCAACACCAGACTCGACGGACCCACCCAGAGACCTGGAGTCAACAGCGCTGGGGATGAAGCACTCAGAACTGAAACACTGGGTGCAGTGAGGGCCAACTCTGGGGCCTTCCTTGATCTCTTGGAGGGGGATCGGCTGCTGTCTGTCCTCTTCTTCTTGTGCGACACCAGGGAACAAGACCAGTGCTGGAAGGATGACATCTTCTGCACAGAGAAATGGTGTGGATGCCACTCTTTAGGGCGCACCGAGACTGGCATGCTGCACACCAATGACATCAGACTAGCTGGCTGAAGCCTAAATGCTGACTCCATGAGGATCAGATTACGCTGCTGGTGCCTTTCCTTTTTGGTTTAAGGCTTAAACCTTCTGCAGATACTGTACTTATCTGGCAGGTGACCCTCTTCAAGACATTTCAAGTCGACTTTCACAGACTGCTTGAAATCCTGGGGCCACTATATGCCCCAGGAGCACAAACAATGGGGGGGGGGGGGAGAAACCACAC